ATGTAACATGATGATTAATAATGATTAATAATTAATTTTTCAGACGATAAAAGAATACAATGAAATATTAATGATGATCATTGATATTGATGATAAAAGTGATAATGATATTAAATAATAATAGTAATGAGTTTTTAAACAAAAAAACAAAAAAATTTCTTTTCGAATGAATTTGAAATACTTTTTAACGTTGTTTAATTAATATTCAAAAAAATTTTTTTCAAATGATTTTAAATACTTTTTAACTTTGCTTAATTAATATTAAAAAAAAAGGATTTCAAATGAATTCAAATACATTGTTTAATCAATATTTTTATTATAGCAAATTATCGTTTATTACAATTTTTTTTTTTTTTAAACTATAAAACAATGATAGAAATGAAAATATTAGTAATATATCAAAATAATTTTAAAATTTTTTTTAAAAAGAAAAAAAAAGAAAAAAAAAAATTGGTTTGACATATATGCCATTGAAAATAATTAAAAAATAAATAAAAAAAAATTGTCGTTTATTTATGATATGCACTAAATGGGAATTATCGGAGGGCGGGGGAAATGCGAAAGCGGGGGGGGAAAAAAAATAGGAGGAGGGTAAGAGGAGAAAGTTTTCCATTTGATACGAGAATGATTGTAGTAATATATAGGCATTGGTATGAACAAAAGTAAAAGCAATCAACCCGACCCAACTCCTCCCTCCTCTTACCACATTTCGGATACCGGGTTTGTCAAAGAACTCGAAAATTGATCATTCCTGTACATCATCTTACCCCATTCATATTACCCGCTCATCAAGGGAAAAAGAAAGATAGAGACAAAGAGAGAGAGAGAGAGAGAGAGAAAGAAAGAAAGAGAGTTACTAATTAGCAATTAACGAGTTGCTTTTCACATTCATTTACTAATAATAATAAAAATAATAATGTATGATATAACAAAAATTTTATCAATATACAATAGATAATATTAAAATTTAATCAAATTTTAATTCATCTTATCAGATTATCATTTTTATCATTTAATTAATCCAAAAAAAAAATTTCCTTACTTCAGCATATGATAAAATAATTATAATTTTCATTAATTTAACATTTATATAATAACAAATTCATTTTTCAATAAGCAAATAGCATATGATAGATACAATTTTATTCAAATATCAATAAAATACTGTCTTTAATCTTAGCTTTTATATGTATATATATACATAATAAACATATTTTAACTTTAATTACTTGTTGGCTAAATTAATTAAATGATGTAATAGAGATGCTTCAAAAGAAAAAGGAAGAAAAAAAGCTTAAAAATATTAGCAATCTTATAAAATTATTTAAATTTGATTATTTTTAGCTTCCTAAAATTATTAATTTAACTAATAATAGACTAATAATTTAAGTGAAACTAAAATATGTTCGGTCAAAAAATTTTAAAAAAATCATAATTGAAAAAAAAGTATTTTATTATAAGTGATAGTAAATAAAATACAGCTACTATTTTTATAGTAAATAAAAGTAAATAAAAAAAATTAATAGCGAACAAAAAAATTACAATAAACAAAAAAAGATCATAGTAAACAAAAAAAAAAAAATCACAGTAAAAATATTTATAGTAAATAAAAAAAAAAAATTGAGAGCAAATAAAATACAACTAGTATTTCCATAATTAATTAAGCTTATGAATGACTTTAAGAATATTTTAATTTTAAGAACATTTATAATTAATTTCAATTATTCTATTTTAGAAGATTTTAATTTTATACTAAACATCAATTGTTTTTTCATCGCTTCCTTTTTTTCATTACTTTCCCTTTTTTTTTTTGTCGTTGTAACAATTTTTTTTTACAATTTCAAATGCATAATTACAATATTTTAAATTCAAAAATTCATCAAAACAATTAATAATTTATTATTAATTTGAAAAATTAGGCAAGTAAATTTAGTAAAAAGTAAGAAAGGTTGCTTTGTTACACAATTTACTTCAAGCTTACTGTATTACCTATTACTTAATTTTTATGTTTTAGTAAAAGAAATAATAGTAGTCGAAAAAAAAAAAAGTTACAATCCTTGAATTTCGTTTTTTTTCTCTTGCTTCAACAATTTAATTTTAATAATAATAAATTCAAAAATTAAATGGATAATTTTTTAATTTTTGGGGAAAAAAAAAGCACTTTTAGAAGTTTTTATAAATTAGCAAAAAAAAAAAAGAAAAAATGAAAAAAAATCTCCGGAATGTAACAATTTTCTTTTTTTTTGTTGTAATGTGATAAATTGAAAATGTTACTTTTTCCACTTTTCTTTCATCTTTTCCCACCTTTTTTTTCCCCCCCCCCCTCTTTATATATTCATTTTGAAATAATTAATATCCGGAAATTAGTATAACACTTCCTCTTCTTCCGGAAATTTTTCTATAAAATGAAGGGAAAAAAAAATTCATTTCATTTTTGAATTAACGATTAAATGAAAATTTTTATTTATGACACAAAAAAAAAAAAAAAAACATTTTTCCACTTTTCGAATCATGCTGTTGTCCTTCAAATGATTTCGTAAATTTACATATCTTTCTTTACCCTTACAATTTACTT